TATTTGCATGCCATATGATCAGACTATCACACCTGGTCTGAAATACTTTGGAAAACTGTGTGCTCTGTAGATGGAAGCAGCGACCATGTTGCTGTTAAGAGAAACTGCAATTGTTAATCTAAGTTGTACCATTTAAATTGAATACCTGAAGATAGTGAACCTGAGAGTACAGAACAGAATCGCTACTTAGCTGTATAAAAGATACTGTTTATCTTAAACTGGCCATCCACTAGTAGAATTTTGGTTGATTTTTGTTTTAATGTTTGTTTGACTTCCTAATCTTTAGTGGGGTCAAAATGATGTTTACTTTCAATTGCAGTGATGAGAAAATTCAGCAGAATGGAAAAATATTCCCTAACAAAGAATTAACAGTGTATAAAATACAAAAAATTGTGCCACGCTCCTATGATTAATATTCAAAAACTAACCATGTGATCCAACATCAAATAAAAAAAAAATTATATATATATATATATATATATATATATATATATATATATATAAATAAATGTGTGAATAAAACTTATTGAGCTATAAATGTGTGATATATCATCAAAAATAGTCCAAATGATATATAAAATTATTTAGGAAATCCGCATTATATATACAGTGGGGATCGAAAGTTTGGGCACCCCAGCTAAAAATTTGTATTAATGTGCATAAAGAAGCCAAGGAAAGATGGAAAAATCTCCAAAAGGCATCAAATTACAGATTAGACATGCTTATAATATGTCAACAAAAGTTAGATTTTATTTCCATCATTTACACTTTCAAAATAACAGAAAAAAAAAAAAATGGCATCTGCAAAAGTTTGGGCACCCTGCAGAGTTAATATCTTGTACTGCCCCCTTTGGCAAGTATCACAGCTTGTAAACGCTTTTTGTAGCCAGCCAAGAGTCTTTCAATTCTTGTTTGAGATATCTTTGCCCATTCTTCCTTACAAAAGTCTTCCAGTTCTTTGAGATTTCTGGGCTGTCTGTCACGCACTGCTCTTTTAAGGTCTATCCATAGATTTTCAATTATGTTCAGGTCAGGAGATTGTGAAGGCCATGGCAAAACCTTCAGTTTACGCCTCTTGATGTAATCCCCTGTGGATTTCGAGGTGTGTTTAGGATCATTATCCATTTGTAGAAGCCATCCTCTCTTTAACTTCAGCTTTTTCACAGATGGCATCAAGTTACCATCCAAAATTTGCTGAAATTTTATTGAATCCATTTTTTCTTCTACTCGTGAGATGTTCCCTGTGCCACTGGCTGCAACACAACCCCAAAGCATGATTGATCCAACCCCATGCTTAACAGTTGGACAGAGGTTCTTTTCATTCAATTCTGTGCCCCTTCTTCTCCAAACGTACCTTTGCTCATTCCGGCCAAAAAGTTAAATTTTAACCTCATCGGTCCACAGAACTTGTTTCCAAAATGCATCAGGCTTGTCTATATGTTCATTTGCAAAGTTCAAACGATGATTTTTGTGGTGAGGACGTAGAAGAGGTTTTCTTCTGATGACTCTTCCATGAAGACCATATTTGTACAAGTATCTCTTTATAGTGGAATAGTGTACCACAACTCCAGTGTCTGCCAGATCTTTCTGGAGGGATCATGCAGTCAAACGTGGGTTTTGAATTGTTTTTCTCACAATCCTGCAAGCTGTTCTGTCTGATATTTTTCTTGGTCTTCCAGATCTTTAACTTCCACTGTTCCTGATGACTGCCATTTCTTAATTACATTCCGAACAGAGGATATTGACATCTGAAAATGCTTTGCTATCTTCTTATAGCCTTCTCCAGCTTTGTGAGCGTCAACTATTTTCAGTTTCAGTTTTCTAGACAACTGCTTAGAAGAACCCATGGTGCTGATTGTTGGGGCAAGGTCAGATGAGTCTGGGCATTTAAAACCTTTGAGATTGACATAACCTGGTCTTCCCAGACGATGATTGAGAACAATCCATGACACTGGCAGGTCTCAGCTTTGCAAAGGGGGCAGTGCATGCTATAAATTCTGCAGGGTGCCCAAACTTTTGCAGACACCATTTATTTTTTTCTGTTATTTTGAAAGTGTAAATGATGGAAATAAAATCTAACTTTTGTTGACATATAAGAATGTCTAATCTGTAATTTGATGCCTTTTGGAGATTTTTCCATCTTTCCTTGGCTTCTTTATGCACATTAATACAAATTTTTAGCTGGGGTGCCCAAACTTTCGATCCCCACTGTGTATATATATATATATATATGTATATATATATATATATATATATATATATATATATATATATATATAAAGTGTCCACTGTGTTATTATGCTGAAAATCCAGCATCAATAAATGGATTGGATGCAATTTTCCTATGCGCTCACCTTAAAATCCTGCATAATAATAATTTTTGCCTAACTGGTTATTAGGCTAAAACAGCTTTACAGATGAAAAGTTTTCCTGTGGCAGATATCCTTCCTAGATTATGGATTGAATGTTGTAATATTATTATTCCACCTGGGGTTTCTCAAGTTAGCTGATCCCTGTGTTGGATGTGGATGGATGGATTTCTCCCTTTCTCCTCCAGGGGTCTACTCCTTCCTTTTGTTTCCTCTCTCCAGTACTCCACATTAATGGTATCAAAAAAGAAGAGAAAACATCCTGTTTAGCTTTTTATTTATTAAATATGTTATACCACTCACATTTGTACAATATAAAAAATGCTTAATGGAATAGCAGAAAACCTGTGGGTGATCAGCACACTTCCTGTACTCGCTGTTAGATCCAGACAACGCCGTGACGTCAGAGCCCCTCCCCTACGCGTTGCGCCACCGGTAACGTGGCTTCATCAGGGAATACGATCGTACTGGAGAAAGGAAACAAAAGGAAGGAGTAGACCCCTGGAGGAGAAAGGGAGAAATCCATCCATCCACATCCAACACAGGGATCAGCTAACTTGAGAGATCCCAGGTGGAATAATAATAATATTACAACGTTCAATCCATAATCTAGGAAGGATATCTGCCACAGGAAAACTTCTCATCTGTCCTTGTAGGACAAAAAGCTGTTTTAACCTAATAACCAATTAGGCTAAAATTATTATTATGCAGGATTTTAAGGTGAGCGCATAGGAAAATTGCATCCAATCCATTTATTGATGCTGGATTTTCAGAATAATAACAGAGTGGACACTTATATATATATATATATATATATTTTATGCAGATTTTAATAATTTTACATATCATTTGGACTATTTTTGATGATATATCACACACATTTATAGCTCAATAATTTTTATTCACGTTTATATATATTAATTTATTTTTTATTTATTTGATGTTAGATCACATGGTTAGTTTTTGAATATTAATCATAGGAGCGAGGCACCATTTTTTGTATTTTATATTTAGTTACATGCACTATTTATGAGTTAGTGTTGAGTGTCAACAAACCAAGTGTGTTTATTTTATTTAATTAATTGATGAATTTAGCACAATTGTCATTTACCATAATAGCTCACAAGCACTTACATTTTTTTTGAAAGAATTAACAGTGAATGTGATTTCTGTTTGGGAAATTAAATTAATTCCAAAATCAGGTAAAAGGAAACAAAAATTTTAAGTACTTTCGAACGACACTCACCAATCATTGAATGCACTGCAAATTTTTATACAAACATTAGTTTGAAAATCTACTAGTGTATGAACAAGCTTTAGGTCATCTTAAAGTCAGACTATTTTCAGGAGTAAAAAATAAAAACAGATACCATTATAGTAGCTTTAAAAGGTCATCTCCTGGATTAGGAAAATAAACTCAAAGCTGCAGAACTGTTATTCAACCAATTGTCCAGTATTTGTATGTGGATTTATCAGTGGTAATTTATTGTAAATCAGTGTTTACCTTTTATCACATCATGGCTTTTAAAAGTTTTCTTTACATAAAAAAAGCAAAGATGTGAACTCTTAAACCAGGCTTAAAGAAGCAGCATAAAATATATGGAAACTAAGAGTTCATAGAAAAAAAGTACATTTCTTAAATAAGATGTGTTACTACTGGAAAAATGAAATGATTTGTTGTAGTCAAAATCTATTTTTGTCATTGGTAAGGTTTACTCAAAGTTCATCTCCAGCTACACATAAAGGTCACAATGACGATGTGTTTCATACATACCCTTTGCAGTCAAGAGAAATGAAAGTGTTACATCTGAAATCTACAGATGTCACTGATCTATAATCCTATTGCTTTCCATCCAGCACCAAAACCTCAATAGAGATCACATTAATTTAAACTGTTCTGTTCTTTGATGCTTATTTTTCCCCAAACATCACATTACACAGAAAAAAAAATGATCCTGCTCTTTATTGTAAGCCTTTTCCTTTTATGCTCTTTCATCTAAGATCATAGAAGATTGAAAGTCAGCATATCTGAAGTTATACATCTCTGCTAACAACAGTATCAAAATACTTTTGTAAAGGCAAATCACCCAAAAAATGCATTCATTGTACATTCAAATACTTTTCCACATAATACAAAAAAAAAACCTCAGTATGTCAGTAGTAAAGGCCACTGTTTGCAGTATATTTGGATAAATTAAAATGCAACAAAAAAAAAAAAAGACAAAAAAAAGAAAGCATTTTCCAGAATGCAATGAGGTCAGAAAGTGCTGGTGAACTTCTACAACAAAAAATGTCAAAACAAAACAAAATAAAAATGTAAAACTAGAAAAAATAATTATAATAGCCAAAAAATTACCAGCTTTAATCATGTAAAAATAAAACAAATAATTCACAGGCTTACTTTTGAAAGGAAAACATGGCCATATGTTAAATCTGCATATGGCTGATTTGTAAAATCAACACTTTTCAATTTTCCCTTTAATTTTTGATACATAAGTAAGCTAGGTATTCAAGCCTCTCCCCCCCCCCCAAAAAAAATCTGACAAAATGTTGGAATGACAGTTTTTAAATTAAGGTGATAATTGAAATCCATTCTTTTTTAAACCCTCGGTCCTAAAAGATGTCATCTTGTTATAGGTTTAAACGTGGGCAGACAGGAGGAGGGCAGCACGCAAATTCTCTCAGTATGCTCCGTGCAACATCTATATTATTCTGAGCAATTTCCAGAGCCCTTTTAACTTCTTCGAAGGAGAATCCCTCTCCCATTAATTTAGCTATTTTTGCGTCTACATTCTCTGGTGAACAGTCAGCGCTGTAAGGTCTTCTGTGATGAATCTCAGGTGCTGTTCTGCGTGGCAGTGGTTTGGGAGGTCTGGCTGGTGCTTGTGGACATTCTGAAAAAAAAAAAAAAGCACTGGGTTTAACTATTAGCAAATATGGCTCCACTACATATATTTAGAATTAAAAACTATAACAGGTTAAAACAAATTCATTGAAGAGAAAAAAAAAAAAATCAGAAAAATATTAATGTGGTAAATAGTATCCAAGAAGCTCAAACCCTACATCTGCATAAACACATTGAATAGATACACTAAAGCAACACATATGCTCACATAAAACACCAAGTCATTCACATGTCACTATATTGCTGCGGTGAAAGTATCCACAAAAATGAAAAGTACCTCAGCAGGAAGAATAAACAGACTAATTACAGAATATGTTATAATGGTACACTGCGTAAAGGAACGTTTGTGTATAAGATCTTGATAGTGATTTTCCACCTTCATCCAGGAAATGGAAAACCTTGTCTACATTATATTACGAAATTATATAAGGAAAGAAAATAGCAAAGTGAGGTAATCAATAGCAACAAATCACAATTCTTAACTTGTTTTTCCAATACTACAATAAAAAGAAAAAGTCCAATAGTCCCAGCAGGACTTTCATCGATCTGGGTGGACGTCATATGATGTCCTCTCGGATTGCTGGCACGCTGCAGTGAGATCTGTCATGGGTCCATTGCCGGTACCATGTGAACAATCACATGACAATTGTAAACAATGGATGGCTTTCTTTTATGCCATCCATTGTACACAATTGTGATGCTAGCTGTGATTGGTCACAGTAATCACATGGCACAGCCCATTTGTGTCATGTGATTAGCTATGACCAGTCACAGCTAATCACAACAAAAAAAACACTGAATGAATCGGAAATTCACTGCTATAGGCAATCATGTGTAAAAAAGAAAAAAAAAATACTGATCACTTCCCCAGAGTAGTACAATGTTACTATAACACTATATTACTCTGGTCACAGTGTTTTATTAAAATACAAAATCCACCCACACGGTCACCAGTTTGTGTCCCTTACCACCACACCAGTTATAGGATGACACTGCACTATGCTGGTGACAGTATGTTTAAAAAAAAAAAAAGTGCTTTTTTTTTTTTATTTCTTCATTGTCCAAAAAATTGTGACAAAAAAATTTAAACAATTATGAGATCGGCTTGTACGTCAGGATTGATCAATTTTCAGATATATACCATAATTTGTGGACTTTATAACTTTCCTACAAACAAAATAATATACACCAATTTGGGTTATTTTCACCAAAGAAATGTAGCAGTATACATTTTGGCCTAAATTTATGATGAACACTTATTTTCAAAATTTTACAACAGGAATGAAGAAAAACTTTTTTTTTTTCCCCTCAAAATTTTCTTTTTTTATTTTTTTTTAACAAAAAAAACCAGTGGTGATTAAATAACACCAAAAGAAAGCTCTAGTTGCGTGAACAAAATGATAAAAATTTTGTTTGGGTACAGAGTTGCATTGACTGTGCAATTGTAATTCCAACTGTAATACTGCCGAAAGCTGAAAATTGGCCTGGGTAGGAAGGGGGTAAAAGTGCCCATTACTGAAGTGGTTAAAAGTGATTGTGCTTAAAACCAACTCACATGTAATGCCAATAGGTAGGTCAGGAGACAAGAATCTCTTATGAAAATGCTACTTATATGGCCGTGCCTGGTTTCAATAATTTTGAGGCAGTGACCTGGAAAAAGCATGTTTTAAATAAGTGTCACACTCACTTATCTAATGTACTTTCTCTTGGTTAGTAACATAGAAAGCATTAAAACCAAAGCATCAATACAACAGGTAGGAAACTTCAATTCCTAAAAGAAAGGTAAGCAATGGCAGCCTTGTACTCTTCTCATGACAAAGTAACTTTAAGACGATAATTCACATCAAAATGCTTTTGTTAAGCCAGCCATACATGGACCAAAATTCAGCTGGTTCAGTAAGGATTGGCCGAATTTCGACACATGTGTGGGCAGGGAGGTCGCCTGTACAACCGCCCTGTCAGATTTTCTCAGCTTGATCAGCACTACCAGCGCTCATGTTGATGGGGAATTGAGTCGGTTATCTTTATTCAACCTGCTGGTTGAAAGAAGGGAAAAAAAATGTGAATCATCTATGGGCTGCCTTTCTCTTTCGCTATCATTATAAAGAGTAGGAAATTCATATCTGACACATTAACCACTTGCCTACTGGGCACTTTTACCCTCTTCCTGCCCAGGCCAATTTTCAGCGCTATTGCACTTTGATTGAAAATTGCATGGCCATGCAATACAGTGCCCAAACAAAATGTTTATCTTTTAACAAATAGAGCTTTCATTTGGTGGTATTTAATCACCGCTAGGGTTTTTATCTTTTTTTAAACAAGAAAAGACCAAAAATTCTGGCAAAAAAAAAAAAAAGTTTAGTTTTCTTAGTTTATTATAAAATTTTGTAAATAAGTGATTCTTCTCCTTCACTGATGTGCGCTGAAGAGCCTGCACTGATGGGCACGGATAGGCTGCACCAATATGCGGCACTGACTGCCAGGCCTGATGGGCACACTGAGAAATGCCGCTAACCAGCTCTCCTCTCCTCATGCGCTGTCAGCATGAGGATAGGACTGACGACAACTATTTTATATTTACAAAGTGATCAGCTGTGATTAGACACAGCTGATCACATGGTAAAGGGGGGCTCTGATTGGCCCTTTACTTGGACATGTGATCAGCTGTATCCGCAGGACACAGGGATCACAGATCGCGCACTGTGCATGCTCCGCGGGTGTGTGTGTGGTTCTAGCCGACCACGCTATAGCAGTCTTTTGGCTATAGCACGGTCAGGAACAGGTTAAAAAGAAGAATCAAGGATGTGAGGTGCTGGACTCTGGCACAGGTAATGTAGGTAACCTAACTAGATGTAGATGTTTTTCACAAGCAGCTTTCTTGTGTACCATGGCCACAAGCGAGCCCTTGGTGTATTGTCTTTAGATGTAAAAAAAAAAAGATAAGTCCAGAAACAGTTTAGTAAAAACAAAGTTCATTAAAAATGCCAAGGGTGTCAGGATTGAAAGGTCCCCTTTCAACAGGACTAATATATAGCAAATGAGGTTTAGATTTAGTATTCTTAGTATTTTTAAAAACAATAGCTCTAGAAAAAAAATCTAGTGTCAAATTAAGATTTTTCCCTCACTCTGTAATGTGTTATTTGAAAATACAACACTAATCTAAGCCTCAGCTGTTATAGCGCTCATGAAGGGGACACTTTGAACCCCCACAATACATTGGCACTCAAACGTAAGATACAAGCACATGCCTGAATATTTTGAGGCTCTCAAGAATACATTGTCTGGAAGAAGCCTATAAAGCTTGTATTTCCTCGAAATTTATATTACCCACGGGTTCTTCTATGGAAATCCTAACAATGAACATGCCTTATCTGGTCATTTTTGGTATGCTAAAGAATATGAAAACACAACATTTTGTATTCCTGATATGTGCCTGCTTTACCATGTACTTGTATGAAAAAGTATTGTTTGTATTGTGAAATACCTGGTGTTCCTGTCAGTCCCCCTGCTTTTCTAATTAGAAAAAAAAAAAAAAAAAACTAACTAACCACACTAGGCATGGAAACACAACGAGGTCAGTTTTCTAGCTGTGGTGGGAGATAATCTAATTGTCAGGATTGTGCAGACATGCTCTATCCCTGCACAACCATTCACTGGGAAGATCAATGTTTTGCTGTTTCTCCTCCCCTAGCTTTCTAACCTCCTTATGCAGCTGGGAACAGAGGGTATGCGATCACTAATATAAAAGTGTGTGTTTGTGTGGGGGTTGTTTTACAAGTCGGAGGTTTATACACTGTGTTCCAAATTATTATGCAAATGATATTTTTCTCATTTACCTAAATAATTGATGTAAATAACAGTCAGCATAATTCTCATGTTATCAACTATTAAGAGTACAATTCACATTTTATTGAACAAACCTCCTAATGATAACAGGATTTTTGTTAAACATAAAAAACTTACAATGCACTGTTCCAAATTATTACGCACAGTAAGTTTCAAAACACTTTATAGGTTGTAAAGAACTGAAAATTGTCATTTATTGTGTTTGCAGCATATTTACTGAAATCAAAAGCTATTTCAATCAAACTTTTAACAACATTTTAACTTTTTAAACATTTTAACAGGTCATGTTACATTGTAACATAGGACCCCTTATTTGATAGAAGCTTCACAAGTCTTGCATCCATTGAACTTGTGAGTTTTGGACAGTTTCTGCTTGAATTTGTTTGCAAGATGTCAGAATAGCCTCCCAGAGCTGCTGTGTGGATGTAAACTGATAGATCTTTTGCTTGAGGATGCTCCAAAGGTTCTCAATAGGATTGAGGTCAGGGGAGGATGGAGGCCACACCATGACTTTCTCTATTTTTATCCCCATAACAGCCATTGATGCAGAGGTATTCTTTGCAGCATGAGATAGTGCATTGTCATGCATGAAGATTATTTTATTACGGAAAGCATAGTTCTTCCTGTACCAGGGAAGAAAGTGGTCAGTCATAAACTCCACATACTTTGCAGAGGTTATCTTTACACCTTCGGGGACCCTAAAGGGGCCGACCAGCTCCGTTCCCATGATTCCGGCCCAAAACATGACTCCACCACAGCCTTGCTGACGTCGCAGCCTTGTTGGAACAGGGTGGCCGTCCACCAACCATCCACTACTCCATCCATCTGGACCATCCAGGGTTGCACGGCACTCATCAGTGAACAGGACTGTTTGAATTAGTCTTCATGTATTTTTCTGCCAAATGCAGCCGTTTCTGCTTGTGAGCATTGGTTAGTGGTGGCCGAATAGCTTAATGTTGTCGTGCTCACAGTCTTATATTCTTGTATGACTAAGTACGTTAAATTCTTCTATTTATGCATATTTAGTAACCATCCCTGTCTATCCAGCAAGGGGATACGGCTACGGGGATAGTTGCAGGGTTTGTTTCCTCAGCTCATTTAAGGTCAGTTATTTTTCCCATCCCTCTATGTTCAAAGGATTTT